ATAGAAATACAAATAAATATACCTATATCTGATGGACTCGGCGTTAACTTCCAGTTGCAATAGCTTAATTCTCTCGTAATTCAAACGAATCAAAAGGAAACATTCGGCTGCAGAATAAACATCATCAATGTAGGTGCATATCTGAAGAAGGAAAAATGGCTATGAATACGAGTGCCTTGTTATTTTATAAGATTTCAAACCTCTCCTAATGTAGTTCTTTCTATGCGTCCTTTAACCTTCCTCGCAAATTCCGGATCTTGAGGATTGACTAAACGGGCTGTGATGATGGGAGTACTGATTGCTTTACTTGCGTTGATGATCTCCTTGATTCTCGGTACACCCTGAGTGATGTTCATACTGGCTACACCAGCAAAATGGAAAGTCTTCAGTGTCATTTGAGTTCCAGGCTCTCCAATACTCTGTGCGGCCAACGCGCCGACTGCTGTTCCAGGCTCAATGATGGACCTCGTGTATTTCTGACCACAAGTCTCAAGAAACGTTACCAATTGGCTGCACGTGAGTCGTTCGATCTCCGATATAGGTCCTGTGGAGTCTTTATATCTAGCCTCGATTTTTCCAATGCGATCAGCGATTTCCTCCATGAAGTATAACAGCTCCTGCTTGAAATCTTCGCTGCAATCGCTCAATGCGTTGGTTTTCAGGAAAGTTTTCGTCGCTCTCCTTATTTGATCGGTGGTCAAAGGCGGTTCATCCCTGTACGGACATTTGGCCTTCACGTGCTCCAATACCCTGTCAAAATCGACCGGGCAATCTTTACCTTCCATATAGGTTGGATCCAATCCATCGCATCCATATGTTATTTGAACTATATCACCTTCAGCGTTTCTAACTGACCCATCGTAATTGACCACAAGATCTTCCAAGGACTAAAAGCAAACAAACGTTATAACTCGTATTAATGAATATTGCATTTAAAGTTTACTTTGACCAATCTCCTTTGCATGTAACCAGTTTCTGCGGTCTTTACAGCTGTATCGACGAGACCTTCACGACCACCCATAGTGTGGAAGAAAAATTCGGTTGGTGTTAAACCGGTGTAGAAACTATTTTCAACAAAACCTTTCGCAGCTGGAGTTCTTGCTAAAATTTAAGAGGCATACAAGATATCAAATTTGAGCAATATTAATGAAATAGTGTCTAACTTACAGTGATGCTTAAAATGTGGCAGTGATCTGTCTTCAAAACCATCCGGTACTCGTTTTCCGTTCAAAGCTTGTTGTCCGACACACGCAATCATTTGAGAAATGTTAATAAATGAACCTTCAAATTAATAAATTGAGTAAAAAAAAAATTTAAATTTGTTACTATGTTTGTACCCTTAGATCCAGAAAGAGCCATGATCAAAGGACCATTGGTAGGATGTAGTTCAGCTACACAAGCTTGACCTGCGTGCTCACGAATGACTGAAAGTTCTTTCAGAATAACAGCTTCCAAAGATTCCTCAACTGTGCAACCAGGTTGTGTAGGCAATTTACCTTGAGCCATAGCTTTAATGTATTCATCGCATTTAGTATAACTGAAAGAAAATCATCTAAATAAAAATACTAAATACTGTAATAAAAACTTACCCATCCTTCAACAATTTATTTTTACGTTTAATCAAATTTTCACCGGGCGTTACATCACCGATGCCAATCGAAAATCCAGCGTTCATTAGATAATACGAAGCCATTCTCGCTGCAAAATATAAACTGTTAAATATCCGTATTTTAAAGAACATGTAAAATATTACCTAATCTCCACATAGCTTTAATGGAATAGTCTTGTCCAAAGTCTCGCAATATCACATAGAAAATACTACCACTTTTACCGCCAGACCCCAAATGACCTTTATCCAATGTACCAGACAGCAATTCAGAGTTTCTGATGATCACATAAGAATCCTTTATGCACAATTCCCTATCTTTGGTGTACGATTTTCCTTTGGCCTCTAAATTCGCCTTCACTAGACATTTCTTGTTAGGACGAAATATCAGACTAAAAATTTGCTTTCCCGTCCACATTCTACATGGCTAAAATTATAAAGAAACTTCAA